CTTATATAGTACCTAAGCGCATTTCCCCTCCATATGAAAATCCACCGATTCTTTTCCAATAATTGAACTGCAGCCAGCCCTCAATAGCAATCCAAGCTATTGCAATATTCAGGATTGAAGTGAACCGCGAATAGAGACAAAACAAATGGAATCAATCACATCGGGATTTTATTGAGTACAGAGGTTCGTCCAGATACCGCATGAACAGCTGAACTCGGGTACTCAATATTCTGACGATCGCTATCAATCGCTACCGCAACAGCGAACCAGTCTTTTGAATGAAATTTCTATTCAGATCGAGGTGAGCTCAAAGATCATCTTTGACAGGCGAAGTGGTAGTGGCGATCTTCGATCAGTCTCAACATAGTCCCACACTTGTGATGGCTTTGAGCTCGAATTGAAGACTCATACTATAAATGGAGGACCCTAGAATATAAGATGTTCAGATCGGACATGACTAGCATACATCATTTCACCGGCCTCTGAGTACTGATTTGGCAGGGTAGATGTCTGATTGGGGTTCGTTTGAGTATGAGAACTCACCAAGTGCTTCGGATTCAGTAGCTCATGGGGCACTCTCGATAGAATAGGAACCGAGAGGATCAAAAACACCGTAATCATCTCGTGTGACCTCTTCTCCTTTACATCAACGATGATCAAGTTGGTCCGGACATGGAAATGAACAAGAACTGAGGCACAACTTTTGCGCTGGATCGACCTATCCGGACAGGGTTCTGACCACAAGTTAAGTATATCAAAGTATATATGTTATCACCGAGTAAATCTCAGAAGGTCATTGGAGTTGAAAAGCAAAACAATGCCCGGGTAAGACTTCGGATGTCAGTAGTGCTTATCCATATTTGTGAGGAACTATTAGCTAATTCATGCAGTGATGCGACTCGTGAAAGCAAACTAAACCCATCTCATGCAGTGAGATACCCGTTACACAAAAGCTATACATACTAGGAAAGCTTACATAGCTTATTACTTGAATCGACGAGGCAGAATTGCCCATTGACATTTGATAGATGAATATTCTCGCGATTCTTACAAAAATGCTTTCTATCCTTTTATATCTTGACGTCGGTACGTGCACACGTGGTCTATCACTAATCGCCGCTAATCAGCCCTAAGCATAGTTAGTTAGTGAGTATATCTGGCCCCTGATACCCCACTATTCCATATCATGTAAGCTAAACCTTATTTAATTGAATTCTGCCACCGCCCGGGGAAAATTACACCGCCAGATCTTTGTCCTCCTTGAACACAATATCAAAAGCAACTTTTTTTTCTTCTTTCCTCTCTTTTGGAAAATCTCTACCCGGGAATCACAAGGCAAGTACGGAGGAAACCCTCTCAAATTACAAGGCAGGTGCAGACAAATTACGATGTTGATTCAGAAACCCTTAATCCTCTTTATTGATGCATATGATTCATTCTCGAATAATATCATTTCTCTCCTTGAAACTACACTCACCGCCTCAGTGCGAACGGTCAAAATCAATGATCCCATCCTCTTAGCATCTGATGAAGCATTACACGAAGAATTGAGACATTATGTAGCGGTAGTATGCGGGCCGGGCCCTGGAAATCCGGAGACGGACAGTGATATCGGAATTATAAAGAAAATCTGGAGACTTGCCGATGAGGAGATGTTACCAGTATTGGGTATTTGCTTAGGATTTCAAAGATTATGTTTGGAATTCGGTGGGCAAATAAGAAGGTTGAATGGTCCACAACATGGAATGATTAGAAAGGTTCTACATGCAGGAGAAGCCCAAGCCGTCTCCGCCGTTGGAAATGATTCAATATTCTGTGGGGTTGGCGAGATTACCGCTACCTTGTATCAAAGTTTATGTATCGATATAGGCCAGGACGACATTCTAGATGAAGAATGGAACACATCACGATGGGAGCCAACAGAAAAATCTCCCGATTTGATACCATTGGCTTGGGTTGAAAGTGCCGATCTAGAGGCTGAACATGCGAGAAGTTGCGGTGTGAAAGACAGCAGAGTTTTGGTCGGTGTACGACATGCAACGAAACCCTTTTGGGCAATACAATATCATCCTGAGTCGGTCTGCACAAATGATACAAGCAAAGAGATCTTTATAAACTGGTTCAGGTCGGCACAAGATTGGAATAAAACTTACAGGAAGACGGAGATAAATTACGACGGTACAATGCACGGTCAATCTGCTACACGAGTGAGCCTTCTCCAACAATTCGAAGCTTTACAAACAATGCCTGTATCTCCGACCAGCGATACCTCGACCGAAAATATAAAGCCCAAAAATATGTGTATCTCTCGAACGATTGCCTTACCAGATAATCTATCTGTACCTGATATTGTGGAAGCCATCCAGGACATGGGACGAGATCATATTCTACTAGAATCCACCAATGCAGACGAAACTTCCGCAGGATCTGCCGATGTGAGAGGACGATATAGTATCATAGGCCTGGATATCGATGATTGTTTGAGATTCGAATATCGTGTCGGGGACGGATATGTAACTAAAATTCCCTCTTCATCTGGCGAATATCTTGATGCTAAAGAGGAGATTGATTTAAAGTCTTGTGGCGGAGTTTGGTCTTTGTTGGCACATCGACTAGAGGTTGCGCGTGTTACTGTAGGCAATGACGAATCGCCTTTCTGGGGAGGGTTTATGGGATATACGACATACGAGCTGGGTCTGGAAACTATTGATGTGAAAGTTGATAGACCAGATGCTCATAGCAACCGACCAGATCTCTGCTTTGCATGGGTCACTCGAAGTATAGTTGTCGACCACGTGAAGAAGGTCCTCTACCTTCAACAATTGGCCAGCCTTGGTGATAGCCAGAGCGACACTGCATGGATGGAAGCTGTTGGACCCAAGCTTGAGAAAGCGTCCCAACCGAAATCCCCCAAAAGCACTCGTCAAACCCCCCTCCGACCAGGTGATCTCGTCTTATCTTGCGATCGTATAAAAGTTTCTCGTCGAGAAAAACGAGCTTGGTCACCAGTTCGTACCCCCGCTTCGAAGTTTTCCATGGCTATCACTCAACCTACAGCGGATTCATATGAAGCAAAGGTCCGTCGATGCCAAGATAAGATTGCCAGCGGTGACTCTTATGAGTTATGCCTCACCGATCAAACCATCATCACCCGTCTTCGCAGCGATCCCCCTCATACATCAGTCCACAATACTACTGAGTCAATCCTCCTTTACAACAAAACTCCAAGACCAGCTCCAGCTAAGGGCGCCTGGTCTTTGTACAAGAATCTTCGCACACGTCAACCAGCCCCCTTCGCTTCTTTCCTTCGCCTTGGCGCCGCGACTTTGGTTTCTAGTTCTCCAGAACAATTCCTGAAGTGGGACAATCGTGTCGGAAAATGTTCACTTCGACCTATGAAAGGCACCGTTCGTAAGACTGACGAAGTAACACTTTCAGATGCCACCACACTCCTTAATGATCCAAAAGAAAAGGCCGAGAACCTCATGATTGTTGATCTCGTTCGCCATGATTTACATGGCGTCTGTGGGTCTGGCAACGTTTCTGTGCCACGACTGATGGTGGTTGAGGAATATGCATCAGTTTTCCAGATGATTTCTGTTGTCGAAGGTTCTTATACCAAGTCCGGATCCGATGATATATCGACACATATGTCATCACTCACCATCAAGGATGACAAGAGAATAGCATACACTGGACTCGATATTTTAGCAGCCTCTCTCCCACCAGGATCTATGACTGGTGCACCAAAGAAACGCAGCTGTGAACTATTGCAAGATATCGAACACCACAAACCTCGTTCTCTATACTCTGGTGTTGTAGGATACATGGATGTTGGTGGCCGCGGCGACTTCAGTGTTACTATCCGATCAATGTACCGTTGGGACGATGAAGATGGTGTCATTGAAGCCGAAGAGAAAGATACAGAGAAATGGCACATTGGTGCGGGCGGAGCTGTTACAGCTCTTAGTACCCCCATTGGCGAGAGAGATGAGATGTTAACAAAGCTTAATGGAACACTTGGAGTGTTTCGTTGACTAAGATAAAAAATTTCTACATACGACGCGAGTCGGTTGGTTTGTGCATAATGAAGGAAGATTTTCCGGAGTTATTCATGGGGCTTTTCACTTTTCTTCTTGGTTTCTTGGGATATCTTCAGACACAAATTTATGGTAAAGTCCCCAGTTCGAGATACCTCAACGTATCGTATCTATCATAAAGAGAGCGGGGCATTGACGACTTATGACTTTGGGATGGCGCTTTCATGTATTGGATATGGATTGGATTGGAACAGAGACTGGGACATGGAGTACAGAAAATCTCAACGAAGACATGTATCTTTTTATAGAGAGAGAAAAGAAAAGGTCCGCAAGGATTCACATATGCAGTTACATACCTAGATAGATATATTTCAATAGACTGATAATACCACTTTACATTCTCAACACATTTCTAGTACAGAATTTTGCATGCATGGTTCTACAGTTGCAACAATTTATGGGTGTTGGGATAAATGTCCTTCCTTTCTTGTCCCGCTCTCCGTATGAACTGATAACAATCACTATATTGTACATTTGAGCTCTTTCTGAATTGTTTTCTCGTCATCGTATCATGTCTTTCACCGCTTTAGATTCAATGCGTATGACGTTATTTCATTCCATTAATCATTCGCATGTGTTATTCTTTACTTTGAATCCAAAATCGAAGTCCAAGTGCTCGAGGACACCCCTTGGTGTGAAATCTCTACCATGAATTGAAGGGCCAAGTCGTTCATAAAATAGCCCTTATCCCGCCATCATCGCTATGGCTACACTGTGCTCATCTTTTTTACATCGTGGTCGCAATCTTCTCTTGTCATCATCATTATCTCTTCCTAATACGAGAAGTCCAATCTCCACGTCCGCTTGAATTCCTATATATCTTTACACTTCCAGTTCCCCCATTCCCACCCCCAACACATCTGCTCCTACATCACTCCCTCCTCCCTTTCCTACACCCTCCTAAAACTCAGCCTCCTCTTGGAAAAACATTCCAAAACTAATCATCGTTCCATAAATCAGAACACCGCCAATAATGCTCATAACCATGGCCGGCACAGTAATAATATGACTATGCGCCAACACGGCGGGAAGAGCTACACCCATCATGCACAAGAAACCCGTTGCGAAACGACCGAGATCGAGAACTCCAGAAGAGGACGAATCGGAGAAGTCATCGGGAGAAGAACAGCGGGATGCGAGGAAATTGGGGAGAGGAGCGAGAATGAATGTGAGGACGACGAGGAGGGGAAGGTATTGGTGGAAGAGCGCGCAAGAGAGGATTACGAGGAGAAATCCGAGAGCGAGGACCTAGGGGGGATGTTAGAGGCTGGAAGGCTGGGAAAATTGATGGAGGAGGGAAAACGTACGAAGGAGAGGGAAATTATTGTTTTTAGGCCGGCGGTCATATTGAATATGCTGGGAATGGCACGTTGAATGAGTTGCGATTGGAATTGATAGTTATCGGTCGCTTGCTTGCGTTATCGGTGTAGCTCTATAACTATCGTATCACACACAATTGTACTGTGCGATTATCTCGTGTGTGTATTTTGTTCTCGATAAACGGCTTGAATGAATGGGCAGATGTAAGAATTGTTGGTGGAAGATAGAATTGTTCAAGCTTGTTGTTAGTAAGAGATTCAGAGTATCAATCACCAACCGCCTTGGAGCTGACGTTTCGGAAGCACGCGCTTAAATGATAGCTTCATAGCCTTGTTGATCCACTCACTAAAGCAGCACTAATTATTCTCTCTCCTATGGTGCCATAACCCTCAAAGTCTTGCCCTTTTAAACTTCTAGCTACCTATTCTAAATCGTACCTAACAACAGTTCGAGCTTGCCTCATCATCGTGTCTGCCTCATTCAAAAGCGTCCAGTTCCTCCATTCTGCAATTTACATTTCCCAACCACTACATCCAAAGTTTTTGACGCATATTTGAAGATACCCGTGTTTTTATCTCTGCGTCCGAGTGGTTTCAACTAGCTTTTTATTCAAGATGTTTAGAAACAATTATGATAACGATTCTGTTACCTTGTAAGTCGACTACTACTTGGTGACATGGAAATGGAAATTGAAACTGATGAGATGACAATTATAGCTCCCCACAAGGTCGAATCTTTCAAGTCGAATATGCTTCGGAGGCTGTGAAGCAGGGTAGTGTTGTTGTGGGAATAGTTAGCAAGACTCATGCTGTTCTTGTGGCTTTGAAGGTTAGTAGTTATGGGCTATTTACTTTCTGCTGCGACTACAAACAGCAGAGTATATGATGCAGCACAATATATTTCCTTTGCTTCACCCCCATTCTATAATACTGAACCAAAACTAACACATCCTTTCCTAAACAGAGAAACGCAGAAGAACTCTCCTCCTACCAAAAAAAAGTAATCGCAATCGATGAGCACGTTGGACTGGCCCTCGCTGGTCTTGCCTCTGACGCCCGCGTCCTCTCCAACTTCATGAAAAACCAAACTCTCGCCTCGCGTTTAACATATGACCGAGCCATCCCCATCGAACGACTCGTCGCTTCAATCGGTGACCGCGCTCAAACTAATACCCAACATTACGGAAAGCGTCCCTATGGTGTCGGTCTTCTCGTAGCTGGTGTTGATGAAACCGGACCTCATCTATTCGAGTTCCAACCCTCGGGCATGACACAGGAAATGAATGCTTGTGCGATTGGTGCGAGGAGTCAAATGGCCAGAACTTATTTGGAGAGACATTTGGACGAGTTTCCAGACTGTGGAAGAGAGGAATTGGTTAAGCATGGTTTAAGAGCACTTAAGGAATCTTTAGCTCAAGACAAGGAGTTGACGGTCGAGAATACGAGTGTGGGAGTCGTGGGAATTAAAGCAGAAGGGGCTAAGAACATTGAGGGTTTCAAGCTATTTGATGGCCAGGATGTAAAGCAATGGGTAGATTTAGCAGCGGATAGTGCAGAGGGTGCAGAAGGTACCGAAGCTGCGGAGGGTGGTGATTCGATGGAGGTAGATGCATAAATGAAGGTCGGACAATTTGGATGGCACTATGGATCATGACTTTAGCTAATAGAAATGAGCTCTGAACGCAATATTCTTGTTGTCTGAAAGTGATTTGGACTTTGAACTCAATCGTCACAATCAAGGTGCGGTCAGAAGATGCAGGAATTCTAATCCCGGTGCTTTCGTATTTTGAACCATCGGATGCCATTGGGAAATTAGAATCTATGATTTTCTGGGACATATAGAAGTTTGCTTCAGATGTTGGTTCTAATTGCATGGAATAGTTTCCATACTAATATATACGGGATTCGAAACGAAGAATGAAGATGAGATCGGGATGTTGGTGATTCTCTTGGGTGTTCAGAGTGTATACAATGCTCACAAATTGCAGATTGGAAGATGTTTTTGGGGCTGGGAGGAAATATAGGAGGCTAGATTAGCTATTTACCTCTGAAGATTGCTTTCTCTTCTTGGGGTAAAGTTGGGGTCTGATTTTGTTTGGGGGGTGGGAATGGAGGGGAAGATGGAGATGGAAATATACTTGGATGGATGAGGGAATGGGGGTTTGGAAAGAGGCGAGTGAGTATAAGCTGGGGATCAGAAGAGAAGCTTTCTGTTGTGAATTGAATACCTTCTACTCTTTGACAGTCGACATGAAATTTCGCACATACAATATTATTCGGGAAGTCGAATACGTACTTTCCTCACAATTTCATGGTTTCAAATAGCTCAATATATCACATGCAGCCGTTGGTTATGAACAGGAAACTGATACTTTGATATTCTATATGCTATAATCCATGCTAACTATGCATTGCCAAAATCTAAAATGTTAAGGGGTATGTCACCTTCCGTCTCCTGTGCCGGGCTTGTACTCCTTGTTTTTAAATACTTCCAGCGCTTCGTGTGCTTTCGTGCAGGATAAAGTTGAGATATACGTCCGTGATGACGGAGATGCAAATCCATTTTATATTCCGCGCTTTAAACACTCGCCTGTCCAAAATATAAAGACAAGACTAACGTATCTGCAAATGCAACATCTCCCTACTGTATCAGGCATCTCTATCCCTCGAGAAATAGGATACCTGGCTACTCATTGCCCCACTCCAATTTAAATCTTCCTTCCGTCAACTTGTAGTCCCTCAATGCCTGGATTGTCTCTTCTGCTGTCTTGCAATCAACCACAATATCCCTATTCGCCTCTCCCACGAATCCAGCCTCTACAGAATTCTTGACCCACGCCATTAATCCATCCCAATACCCATCTACATTAAGTACGACAATACCTCTCGTATGAATACCCAACTGATTCCAGGTAACCACTTCCATCAACTCCTCCAGGGTACCATACCCACCTGGTAACGCAACGAAGCCCGAACCTGGACCCCCAGCTATAACTTCTTTAGCCATCATTGATTTCCGCGCATGCATATCTTTCACCACGGTAGTTCTCCCATAAATCTCATACTCGGGAAGTCCGTCTCCGTTTTCGGGTGTCCCAGTGCCGTTTTCCTTGCTGTGAATACTCGCCGCGTCGCTGTTGGGCCCACGCTCGTATTTCACCAATGGAGCGGGTATGATGCCGTGCACGGAAGTGGGACCAGAGAGTGCAACGAGGGTTCGAGCTACTTCACCCATGAGTCCTACGGTGCCGCCACCGTAGACGAGTGATATGTTCTGCGAAGCCATGTGTTGGGCGAGAGAACGGGCCATGGCCATGTGAGAGGGAGAGAGGCCCGGGGAAGAACCGCAGAAGACGCATATTTTCGTGGGGGGTGGAGAGGTAGATGAGGAGTTGGTTGTTTGGGCTAAGGGGGAGGAAATAGATGGGTTGGTTGATTCGCGAAGGGAGGGGACGGGGGAAGCGGCTGAGAGAGGAGAGGCGCCACCGGATGCCATTTTGTTTTGTTTGTGTGAATGTAAAAAGTGTGGGTGATAGTGATGTTGTTTGTGAAATTGGAATTAAAAAGATATCTTGCGTATTGAAAGTCTTGTTTGTTGTTGTATGTTGTATACTGTCTGTTAGATTCGAGGTCTGATCAAGTACGTACTTTATAAGTTGAGTACCCAAGAGAATTAGTGGTAAGAGTGGATGTATCTGCAGGTACGAGTTGTCTGGTGACGATCACAATAGAGGAAGACCTGTAAGAAAAGGAAACGTGGTTTGAATTCAGAGAAAGGACTGTATTGATCTCTTGGTACGGAATTGACTGAATCACAATGAATCACAATGAATCATCTCTGATCATATATGTGATTGGGAAGAGAGGTACGAAATAGTAATGTTAAGATAATTGTTGGGTATGATACACTCCACCCCGCAGTCTGTGGGGTTGTTAGCGCTGTATGATTGGTGTGTGGATGATCACAAGGGGTGGAAGCTGAAGGGCTGTTATGTCATTGTGCTTATGTAATAGTAACCTCTCACTGCATTCAAATTTCCCTACACAATCGCTTCCCGGTGAGCTGCTAGGTATTGGTCATTTGACGGAGTCGGGTATGGAATTATTCAGAAGATGTTCAGACGACATCAACATCATCGATAGTGATGAGTTGGTACAATGGATTTATAAGGATTAAGAATCTGGTCATTGAAATTCCTAGATTCACAGCACCATCCTCATCGTGGATTCGAACTGGTTCATCTCACAAGTGTGTTACCACATCTAAATCTCCAGCGAGGACCAAGTTTATGAACAATCTGTTGAACAATCGTTTCGAGTAATAAGTTTGCAGTCAGATATTTTGTTCGTGTGATAATCAGATTTGGAGTTGTCGTTGTTTTCTCTAATTGAGATGGGATGATATAGCATTTGCTTCCCCCATACATGACATAAGGCCACACAGGATGACAGCCGGTGTTTGGACTTTGAGATTGCTTTAACAATTCATTTTGATAGAGATGCCATCGCGGTTTAACACCTAATAAGAACTGTAAATGTGTCAAAGTTCAAAACCGATCTCAGACGTAGCTCAAGTTTTTCAACGTCTCTCCATCTCCTCTACTGAACCTCCTGCTTACACTACCAGTATTAAAACGACACGCGAAGTATTATTTGAAGGACTTCGCACATTCAACGCCCCATGTCCTGATTATTGAGACCATTCTACCCCGCCAGGAGCTCGTTACTCAAAACTCAATCTGAATCCGTGCATATAGCATCAGTCGCACAACAAATAGAGCATACTGGTTCTACATCTCTGTCGGATGGTTTTGTAGTGCTTTGCTATTTTCTACAAGGTTCCGATTTTTGTGGAATCTTGAGAGCGAAACTACAGTAAGGTTTAGCAAATATAAGAAGTGTAAGAATATGTTACCGGGAGCTTTAAATGAGCTTCAGCGCTCATATTCTGTGGTGTTGGAATAATCTCACATGTCTGCCGGAACTGTGCGCGGTCATCGTGCCTAAGTCTCCGTAATAAAGCTCATGTCTATCACAATCTACATGCCTAAAAGTGTACTCACTGCTATGTTTGACTCAATATCCACTCACTTATTCTCTATCAATGACAGCAGATCGAAAAAAATCATCCATACCCAGAGAGATATTATGATCCCATACCCTCGCCTCTTCTGCCTAAATACATGCTCAAACCAGCATCTTAGTCCCGCCAATACAGACATCACACTTGCTTCCCCTTATCCCTTTCACAAATAAATACGTCGAAATTTTAGACTCAACCCTCTGTATTGCTTTAGTCTGAGTGATAGAGCTTGGCTAGTGAGGAGAATGGCCCGGATTTAGGGAGTTATGTTGGTACCTATCTGAGCTGTCCGATTTCCTGACTTGGTTGAATCGGAGTAGGAGGGAGAGACGAAGAATTCGAATTAAAGATGGGAAAGGGTTTGGAGATGACGGAGAAGGAGTTGTTGCATCATGGATTGGCTTCAACCAAGGATTGAAGAGAGGTTTGTCCTGAAGTGAAGGAGTTGAAGTACGTGAATCTGGATTTCTGGGTTTCGCATAAGTGATTCTAATAGACTTGGCATTCATTTACGGAATAGTAAAATGGTAAAAGTAGTCCATCTAGCATTTAGTACCAAGAATGCTTGTTGATATTAGAAAATGTCAGAAAAATATCCTAAACACACACATGTGAACCAGAACCACAGAACCAAAGCTTGAAAACAAACATCTTGTATTCTTATCTAGTCTGTTCATTAAGGCTGAAAGACATACCATACAATACAAGGTCCGCGAATGATGAAAAGAAGTATAGGATCATATCTCGATAATGTTCTTTCTCCCCCTGAAGACCTTCTCTGATATTCTCGTCCTCTGCTCTCCCGTTCTCAATACCCGAAATTTAGTGCTCCAAATGACAAGCCTCAACGAGATCCCTGACCTCAGCCTTCCGGAGAGGAGTGGAGAGAAGAAAAGGATAGATTTAGTTAGTGAACAAACGTGGAAGGAAAGTCTTTAAGGTCTGAATTCCTTTTTCTATCCTAATTTTTCAATATAGTTTGTTCGGAACCTGATGCTTCAGGAAATAGCTATTGACATATTCTTTGAGAAAAATGATTGTCTTTATATCTTTCCAATGGTATACTTGAAGACTCCTCTTTGGTATAATATTAGTTTAAATTCGTTTGTTCTACTATTAGTTCTCTAGAAGACGTTTCTGTCCTGTCCCTAGTCGTAAGTATTGATAAGTCTGTCTCGTCTTATCCCGTAGAAGATGAATAGACTCAGGAAAGAGAAGAAGGTAGTCTGCAGTTTATCACAAAACATTTATCCAAAATACATATTCACTCCAATTTCAATTCTATATTCTCATTTCAAAATCAACCTTTAAATAGTCAAAGACTTCAGATCATAATAGTCTAATAACTATTCAAGAAAATATTAACGTCTCGATTTCCTTTCAGTATCGTGTTCTTTTGCTCTCTTGGACTATCGATCTTTGATTGAAAATTCCCTTTTTGTCTTTGATCCTTCAAACAATACCGATTACTTGCGTCTAATAGCAACTTCCAATGAGTCGCTATAGCTTTGTTCCTCAGAAAAGGAGGGACACGGGAAGGGAGAGGGAGAGGGGAAATTTCAATCAAGAAAATAATTCTCGAAGAAGGCATGTTAGGGTTGAATATCATTCTACTTTCTTGTCACAGAATAACTCTTTAGTTGCCTAAACACTTCAGATAATAGGGTCTCTTATAGCAGCATCAGGAAAACGTTTGTTCTTCTTCATATCAATATAGAAAATTAAGTGCCCCTTTCCTATTTTCAAGGACAAGTGTGAATGAGCCTCTCTCATGTTGTCTCCTAGGAGGGGAGAGATAGCGAGGAAGCGAAGGATGTATATTTGGAAAATAAACATAAACAATTTACATGAGATCTGAATGTTATTTGGGGTTTCAGTCCTTGAACTATCTTCTAATCGATCAAAACTTCAGATAATAAGTATCTAGTAGCAAACTTGACTACTTCAATTAACTGCCAGCCTCAACTGAATAATCGCTCTCTGCTCCTATCTCAAAAGTTAAATACTCTCTTCCTACTCCACATATCAAGCGCTACTGAGTCTCCCCGTCTTAATCCCAAGAAGAAGAGAGGAGAAGAAAATTGAAATACTGCATTTCAGAGAAACCTTCAATCGACTTCTTCACAATGCTATCAAACGAGTATTCCGAAACCAATTTTCACACAACAACCAGAAAGAACCCTCCAATATAGAAAAGAAACTCATCTCCCTAGTCATCCCCAATACAGGCGCATCAAAAACACAAAAATACCATCAACCTCATTTTGAGTACCTTGTCTACCCATTAAGCCAGAAAGACGCGCAGAATGAAATTGGCGAGAGATGTGAAGAAGTTCTAGACTATATCTCGGATTAACCATTGTGCTTGAGGTTTGGTCAAGTGGTTTGTCTGAGTTGTAGAAATTTATTGGTAAACACTGTGAAAGTTCTCTTACATCATACTAGATTGTTATCTGCTATATGCATTAGGTTAGGAAACAAAGTCAAAGATCTGTAGCAGTTGTTCAAACTCAGTATGGGTCTCTGATTAGAAGGTAAAGAACTAAACAGACTTTCTATGGTGGAAAGGTAACAAAAGACCTGATCATCAACCAGATCTGATTGAGAAGGTGTTGTGATAATCTGAGGTGGTAAAGGATAGCAAAAGTTCATTGGTAAAACAATAATATCAACCTTTGCTTCAGAACAAAGGTCCAGCCTATAGTTTATTGACAGAAATTCATTCTCTTTAGACTAAATGATAGTAATATCATGAAGGGGCAGGTTACACGCCACAGGTTCAACTACAACATGTTCCAATAAAGTTTACTCTTGTAAACGACTGGCCACTTCCCTTTCTCTTACATCAAAAGCTTTCCATCTGAGTAATTCACATATTGCTGCCTCGAGGCATCCATCATGTCGCCGACTAAGCAGAACCTCAAATATGACTGGATATAGTAATTAGGGCAACTTTTACCCTTGGGCCTGATTCCTTTTCTCCCACAACCTCTTCAATTACTCTTAAAGCACCAACCTTTTCAAACAATCCAAAACTTTCACTCCATCACCACCACCAACAACAACAACAACAACTTCAACTCCATACAGACATTTACAATTGCTTCGCTGCCTTCGCTTTCCATGATGCCTCAATTTATTATCGACATGCTGTGCACTGGCATGGTTGTAGGCCTATCTGTAAGTTCTCTAATACTTTCTCCTTACCTCCAAAGATCGGCAAGAAGCAGCCTTCTTATTTTTATGGAGGCCGCGCCACTGTTTATTCAGTATTTGACGATTTCCAATAAGGGATAGGTATTAACGAATGAGGTAGATCGCAGTAGGTTTAATCATATGCCCTGAACTGGTAGTCACGTTCCTTAAGGGAGTAGTGAGAACAACAATGAGAGCTCGTTTGCAATTTTAGGGGAGAGGCGATTGTTGAGAGTTTGTAAGTCTTATCCATGAATCTCCCTTGTAATCTCTGAGAAATTTGCGAGACTCAGAAACGCTTAATTCCCTCTAAGAAATTGAAATATTTCTGGTGTCTGACGATGAGGGTTTAGATCGTCTTTTGCACTGCCGCCAGGAGGTGCATCAAAAGCCAAGACAAGAGATTGCATCTACTGCACCTTGCAGTCCGATCGGTGAGTAATATTTTCTCAACCTAAGGCCAAGAAGTGCAACATGCTAACACGCTTCTAGTGCAGAGAGATGAACAACCAACGCACCCACAACAAACCCTCTTTTTATCGACTGCAGCAGAAGACCCAACCTCTTCCACTCGGCAGGCAAATATCAACGAGACCCGCCGTCATCAAAAGATGCGCTGCCCTGTGATCAATCGGATGGCAATGAAAAACCATGGCTCCTTCTTGGAATACCTTTCGTGGTATGGCATTACGCTTAGCCATTCCTAATTCATAGCTAACATCATTGCAGTCATACCGAAAGAGCAAGAAGGGATTCATTGAGCATGAAGACATATTTCCTTTTATCATTCATCTAAAGCCTATCACCCCTCTCCAGAATTCTCTTCTAAATCCTCCTTTCAATTTCGATTCCAAATACAAATTCAAAGATATCGATGATCAAGTGCAAGATGATTCAAAAGAAACAATTTATCCAGAACTAAACTACCCCATTCAACAGGCGGCTGGCAGACCGAAAGCTAGAAAATTAAACGCAAGATATGATCCATTCAGTGATTCGTATCTTTTCATCAAGTTTAAATCACCAATTAATACTCATCTTGAGCATTAGGAAGTTTGCCGACGCCCATTGGGCAATGCAGCATTGTAGCTTGCATTTCAAGAATCTTTGACTTGGTTACAAGATCCTCCTGTTAGAACACGAATGCCGAATGCCACCATAAGCTGCGGCATGGACTGCCAACCAGTCCATCGTATAGTTCTGCCGCGCCATCTTACTCACCAACCTCTCCAAATTACAGTCCATCTAGTCCAGACTATGCTAGATGGACTGTAGCTTGGCGTTCTCAAGTAAGACACTCTGGCTACGGAAATGTCGCAAGAGGTCCAATTGAAGCAAGCGGATCGAAAGGAAGATCGAGCACTTCACTCTTCCACTGAGACTTCAATCTCGGCAAGCATCAAAGCCTCCAGAAGAGTACCCGCGCCAATTACTTCTTTAGGCAAAGGGGTTCCAGCCTTCCAAATCGCCAAACGACAATTGACCATTGAATCCTGCGGAGATTACCAAGTCCCGTGTTCCAATTTTCAATTAGACATGGCACAGCTTCGCCACCATAATAGAAGAATTTATAGGAGCAGGCATGGAAATGAACCAATAAGCTTTAAACCGACGAGGTTTGCAACCCTTTTCGTTGCTCCGGCACGTCAGCCTGTTGAATATCAACAGTATCCATGGCCAACGCTGCTTACATACAAATTTATAGATCCTGGGGGCCCAGCGATTCACAGGCCACCCTGAACTCCATCCGAATACTCTGACATTGCTTCCGCGGCCCAATCCCCTAATCTGGGCCACCAAGATATTTTCGAAGCGATAAACCAACAGCACCCACGGATGCAAAACCATCGAGACACAAGACTCTGGAAAGTAATGTCTATCTCCCCATCCTTTACGACACACTCCAAACAATCTACAATACCAAGGTTTAGTGCCTTTGTGGGTGCGAAGTTCCAAGCACTCGCAGTAACACAGGAAGAATGAGCGAAGCCCCTCATGCAGACCCAAGCACAAGGGGCTTCACTACATTATCATTCTGCGGGTGCTTGGAACTTCCTGAACCGGTATTTAATGCTGACAATAATGCGGTTCTCAAGATGAGTCCGGTAACACCTACCAAGTACTCGTTCGACGGATACAATGTGGTTTTCAATACGAGTCCCATCACACCTACTGACTACTCAGCTTGTGATTATCACGGCTCAGAAACTCCTATTCAGTTCTCTCTTGCAGATAGACCGATTTGGTCGATCTTTCCAGCAACTGGGCCATTCGTCTTACCATTTGATGGTAAACTGATACCAATCTCACCAGGATAAGCCCAAGCTGCAGAACTTCACTCCAGTTCAGAAATTGTTAGTTCTTTGGCTTTCAGCTGGTATTCTAGTAACGCTTGTCGGCAATGCGAACATACCTCTCCTGAAGATGAGCGAAACCTGCCAGGATATCATCAGCCTGGTCTGTACTCATACACAGGTGAAGAAGATCCCCGATATCGCTATTGTAGCAAGGAAAGAGGGCGAAGAGCCATGTCCGAATCCACTCACAACAAAAAACGGCGGGTCTGAATCTCAGTGCTCTTATGCCACAACTTAGATAAAACAAGCTCTGATCAGATCCAAAGCCGATGTGGCTGTCTCTTCAAGTTATCATGCTAGTTCCGTCGCGAATTTTTACATGCCTGGAATAGAGAGATCCGTTGATGTCAAACAGCCCAAGTTTAAGAAACCAGGATAACAAGGGAAGAACGCAACTAGACACTGTTATTACTTCAAATACTCGCTTTTTTGATACCAAATTACGGACGTGAATCTCGCTAATGGCCATCAGTGTTTTGAATAGCCCCTCTCCCCTTCGGCAATTATGTTCTTGATGTCAATTTTGATATACCATCAACTGAGATTGTCAGCAGCGAGAATTCAACAAACCGCACCTTTGTTTGGCAAGCCGTGGATGCTTTTGATATAGAGTTGCAATGCACTTGCTCCACTCCAACTGCACTAGCAGCTCCTTGCTCGAGTTCTTTTAAGTCATCCTTGGCACAACCATGATTTCCACTCCCAATCATTTTGCGAGTCGTCACATTATCTTTCATGCGTCGGTCCTCCCTCTTTTATTCCTTTAGTATTCGCAGCAAAAAGAGAAAGAGGGGCGATCTAGAACCAAGAGGCCCTATGTCACGTTTTGGGTGGAGAAAATGCAGGTGCAAATGCTGGTTATTGAGCTTTGGAGCTTTCTTTTGATCCACCCTTCTTACCTAATTTGATGACAGATTTCTTTCTACATTAAAATTCCAAGCCGAATTGCGCTGTGAGTGGGAATTGAGCCAAAAAGATCATTTGAAAACAAGCTAACCATAATAGATCGAGTTTCTTTTCCTGAGGAAGACAAATTGCGAATTATTGGGAATCATTATACATGGAAGCAAAAGCTGCCGCCGTTGGTCTCGAAAACTCCTTTCATATACATCACTAACGCCTCCCCAACCCCCATTTTTACATGACCTGATTCATAAGCACTTAAAAGATCAGAAGAATCTCCACCAAATGAAGATGATCATGAAGAGTCCCAGCCCGCCAATCGGTCCATATTGTTTCAACATCAGTTCCCAGTTGATTCTTACGGCAGCTTTGCGGTATTTCTTACTGTCTTCTCTCAATCTGCTGCTCACCTCACCCATACGCTCCAGGTTGTCTCCTCTGTAAAGCAAGTCTTCAATGTTCTTGGTCATAACCTTGGTAACATCTCGAAGTTCATCGTTAAGCTTGTCAAGATTCTGTGTTGCTCGTGTATCGGAATATGTGGATTTTGTCCGCGAAATGAACGTATCGAAATCCATGAAGGCATATGGGCGTAAAGTTGGTGAGTGTACTTGAGTGGCGGGGTAGGTGGTGTTGAATTCGGTGCAAAGATCAGAGAGGTATGTGAATGCAAGCTTTCGTGGGTATGAGCGTTCGCAAATGCAGAGGAAAACGATGTCGTTGGCGATCATATAGCTGAGATATTGTTAGAAAGGTATGCATGATATATCCACTTTGAATTCTAGCTACTAATGTATTACAGGCAATAGAAAGGCAAATAGCAACTCTGTCTCTCCAGAATATAGCATCGAAAATTACCATTTCGAATTCAGACTGCCAATAAGCTCTCTTATTGCCCAGTGCCAAAATTAGGAGATATGTGCAAGATTTTCGTGGTGGAAACAATTGTTCGCATCCCACATGCGCATTTTATTTAGGAGGAAATTGAGATCTGCGCTTGCTAATTCTCGCTTTACCATTCCATTTTGTGAGACCGTATGTGCTTTCTGAAAGTAGTTTCATGGCTCTAGGCCTTTCTGCATCTCACAGTAAGGGCTACAGAACCAACCAGAGACAAGATTCATCCAAACGAACCAAAGGATATTATGTTCTTGTACGTACTGCATAGTATATGGACCGCTATCGAGAGTTGCTTGATCAGCGGAATTTCGATTCATTTTTCGAAGAACCATCTTGACTTGTGACTTAATCTCTGCCAGGGAAGTCTCAGTCTGGAAAGTACCCAAGTCAGCTTCGTAACCCCCAACTTAGAAACAGCATGCGCACCTGCTCGTCGTCAACTGAGGCGCATAACATAAGACCTGTATTGCGAGATTAGCCACATTCTAAAAATAATTATCGAAAGTCGCCATACCATCCAGCCTCGCAATTTGTGTGGATTTGATCATCTTGTCTGGTTGTAGCTGGAGCTCCTTGAGGTATGTTTATCGAACTTATTAGGTGTTATTCTATGTTATGATATTAATACATATGTCGCGGACCTTATGCAAATCTTGATCCGATAGTAGAAAGACCAGAGAAAGGAAATCTCAGAAAAAGTACAGATCAAGAAACTTATTATTCAAAGAGATGGAAGTGTTCAAAAGGAACTGGTTACTTTAATGGATTCAAAAGCTGTTCCAATTTCCATCATCCATGTCCAGAACCCTGAGTCGGATTAACTCTCTCCGAACACCGACATGACACCTTCCTCCTTATAGCACGAGGCTACCAATGACGCACTAAGTGAGGAGGAGGCTACAACAGATATTTATTATATTCTCAAAAGAATATTTGGGTGAGTTCTTGTTTGTTCTCTTCAACTTTCATTCAAAAAAATCAATCGTTTCAGAAAGAAACCCCCTCTGTTCTCTAACTTTATTCTCTCTTTTCTGAAAAAGAGAGAGGGTTATACTTCATTATCTGCTTGACCAATTCTGCCACTTGGCGTTTCTTTTCTATTTTCTCGACCTTAACCTTTACTTTCAAACCATTTTGTTACCAATATTCTGATGGCTTTACCTAGCGCGCCTCCTGTTCCGGAGACGGCAGCTCCACCGAGTTCGCCTGTTCTGGGCCCCGCGGATTCTGGAATTAATCCCCAGACCGCGGTGGCAGCTACATCGATTCCGGTGTCAGAAGCTTCGTCCTCAGCTTATAACGAGGCGATTGGGGTGCTCGACCCAATCGTCCCGTATGAGACAGCAGCAAGATCAGTAAGTATTCCCATATAATCACGTGTTAAAGATCTAGATCTCGAGCTAATATTCATTTCTAGGAGAGGAACCTGGCTCCTACCAAGGAGATGAACCAATTGTCTGCAGAAAGGCCACTCAGTGCTCATTTCATGATCTCATCCTGCTCGGATAGAGCCTATGTCCCAACACCATTTAACACCCCTCGCACCGCGTCCGGAAGAGAATCTCACCCTCATCTTGCACAAGATTCCTCCCCTAGAGGAGAAGAAAAACCAACCATCAGAAGAGTAGCACCTCGTCTCCTTAGTGGTAATCTAGGCGAAAAGGAGAAGGTCTACCTTCGTGGAGGAGGCCCAAAGAAGAGGCGTGGTGGTGCTGCTGGTAATGCTCGCAAGAAGCCAAAGCCTGACAAGTACGCGGATGTTGACCACTTGTTGTCGGACTTCAAGTCACCCATCTTCCAAGAAGATGCAAATATTAAAGTAATGAATGATTCTACTTTATTTTCGCTATATTTTACTAACTTTTACCAGGCAGTTCTTACGCATCCACTGACAAAGCATATGATGGCTGAGCAAGGTGAACCATACCCTTTCGATGAGATGACTGGAGATGAGATTGCAACCACTGCCGCAGACTTCAAGTCAGATGGTAGTTACGGAAGATTTGACCCAGACTGGATAGAACAAGCTATTAAAGCATCTCAAATCCGCGCATCCGGTGGATATGATGCCTATCTAGACAGCCAATTCGCAGAAAATTGGGCTGAGGACGAAGAGCAAATCTCCGATGAAGAAACGAAAGACCTCAATGATGATGGTGACCATAGCGGCAACGGCGAGACAAAGCCTGAGAAAGAAGATGAAAAGAATTAGCCGATGATTATCACCTGCTCTCGCGATGTGGTATTCTTTCGATCCTTCCACCTATTATGAAAGCTCGCAGGCATCCAACAATACCAACGACCAGAAAACGTCAAAAATATCACTGGCTCCGTCGTAATACTCCCTTACACCTAATTTTAAACCTCTTCAAAGCAACAAGCGCCCTCATATCACAACTCTTTACAGCAATCATAAAAAACTTGGCTTCTCTAATGCATTCGATTTTTTCACAGCCAAACTTTACGCAAATTTGAGGCGCCCTCATTCCAGTTTAACTTTGTTTAATCTCAGATCAACGAATTTCTTTGCGCACCCGGCGTTCGGTATGTCAGATTATATACCCACTTGCACTTCTTGATTTTGTCGGACAGCTTCTCAAAAGATACCTTCGGAGTTTGATTTGAGGTTGGTTCTGGGGCTAATTCAGCCGTATTTTCAAAAGTTTCAGTTCTAATTCTATGCATGTGGTGTTTGGAATCTAAAGGAATTTATCTGGCAGTTTGTGAGAAGAAGCTTCAGCTACGAATTGACTCGATGTCCTTTTCGAATATCTGATAGGAAGTCAGATATTCACAACCAAGGGAGGAATAAGTGAGCCTAGAGTGCCTGTCTACACTTGAGAATCTTAATTAGTTAGTTTGACTTTCCCCTTAATATGTGTGGAATTTGAGGAAAAAGGAAAAAGTTCGTAAATTAGGCTTCCTCTATGTTCACTGTGAAGTTATAAAGTGATACATTCTCTCCTCGATTTTATTTCTATTGATTTAATATTTGTAATTGTGACTGTATTGTGTTTTTGAAGAATGTTGTTATCATGAAATATATCACATTCGATCCTTCCTGCCCAGATCTTAGAAGTTCAATCACAAATTGCAAAGATCAAATACACATTCGAACTGAAACCTCTCGGAAAGGTCCCATAAGTCTCCTCTGCGAGACGGTCCTTTCGTTTTCGCGGTGCATCCGTAGAGATGTTAGCAGCGAGATGATTTTTGAAAGCACTTGATAATATTGAAAATCATCCATGCTAAATTTCTGGACTTATGATTGATGTCTTAATGTGCACAAACTGAGCTAATGTGAGATTTTCCACATGCACTCGCTCTGTTTTCGTCGTATACCAGGTAGCCAGAGGTAGCTATCCAATCAAGGAGACACCAAAAAACCAGCCAAGTTCCCAACGTACTCAGTCTTATTGACAAAGCATTATTTACCAGTTGTCATACCAAAGAAGCCCCAAAGAGAGATAACCCCAGCACTAAGCGTTCTAAAAGCAACACTTCCCGGAACCCCATGCTTCCAACACACATACCCATCCACTAAAGCCAAGTATCCCAAAGACGCAATCACAACATCCATCGCTTCGAAATGATCGCCCAAATACAAGCCCCATAGTGCTAAACCAACGGCAGTAACGCGGGCTGAGCCGGATACCATCACGGGATGAGCAGGTTTGGAAATAGCTATTTTCTCGTTGAAGCCGAATGTTCGGATGGCGTTTTCGGCGTTCCAGAGAGGCATGGTGCCGCCTATGGTTGTTGCCGTGGCGAGCAAGAGAGGAGGGATGTGACGGAGAATGAAGTGCTCAAACATTTTGCTTTGGACGTTTGGTAACTTTGTCGACTTTGCGTGATAAGATGCTAAGATAGCTAACTTAGGGAAGTAGTTGCCTGATTTTTGGAAGGTTCTTATGGAGAGATTGTGATTGTGATTATCTTCCGTATCCGGAGTTGTGCTCGGGACTTTATACCAAAAAGAGATTCACGTAAACAGATGTAAGATTGTTGTATTTTCAAGTGTAAGAAAGTGGCGTAAGCGCTTTTGTGAATCACTTGATAGACATGCGCAGCTCACATTTTATGGGGAGTCGCGTTTAGACGTCTAATGGTGGGAACTTGACTGGACTACCAAAATTATACACAAATGTTTGGAAATTCGACAGTGTATTTAATAAGAACCTGAATCTGAATACATGCTATGATAGATTCATGGTTCGGATAAATCTTCGCGACAGGCAAGTCGATAGTGAGATTATCACATCGTCTCTAGGCTCTTGGTTGTCAAAAGTGGGCCTTGACTCGCTTGGCGATGTAGTATATTTTGTTTCAAGCAGATCCCACACGGAGATATTGAAGGGTCTAGAATACAAAGACTCATCTCGCTTTTGCATAACTTACATCGATCATGTTTTGTGGTCTGGATGTCTCAGAATGATTTGAAAACTGCTCCAAGATCATAGAGAACCAAGCAAGGTGCAGTATGTACTGATCAGCCACACTATGCGACGAGTGGCGATTCCTGCAATCATAAAGTTACCGGTACGGTGAAAATTACCAACTTACAAAATCTCTTCACTCAAATCATACGGAGCTGTTATCATTAGAAGCGCGTTCTTTTTGTATTGCACCCCGGCGCTTCTTCCTCTATCATAGCAATGCTCACCTGGGCCATGATAGACTAAAGCTCGGTTGAGCGAGATACCTCGGAACTTTCCCCGCGTTCTGGACAAGGGTTCGGCAGATCAGCGCACATAGCTTGACTACCTGCCTCCTTTTTCCTTACTTCGAAAGTTAGAACGTTTGGAATTACTGTGAGATTTTTGATTTACTTTAGCACTTTTTTTTTTTGAATTCTATCCAAACAACTCATTACTTGAGATTTCACAGGGCCCAGCCAATCAAGGAGCGTAGCCATCATCATGTCTAAGAATAACTACAAAGACATCATTGTTACCATCCAAAACAGGATAGGAATCATCAAAGTAAGATATGGGCATTGGGTATGTAATATAAGAGTTCGCTGATGTATAATTAGTTCAATCGTCCTCAAGCCCTCAATTCTTTGGGAGGGAGTCTAGTACCAGAGACTATTGCTGCTCTCCGAGAACTAAATGAACATCCCGATACTGTATTTACAGTTTTAACAGGAGAAGGGAGATTTTTCTGTGCTGGTGCAGATGTCAGACGTGGGTTTGCGGAGAAAGTCTAGTGTTTACAACGTGCTGACACGTGAAATATAGAAGATGGTGCATTATCTGGCAAGAAGGAATATGCCAATGCCGCGGAAAAGAAAATTACTTATCTTTCTAAATTTACCTTATGTAAGTGCCTTTCTACTCCCAGATTTAAGTAGAGAGACCTAATTGACTAGCTCTCGAACTCATGCGCTCAATAATCGACCACACTAAAGTTTTCATTCTCGCGCTAAATGGACCGGCAGTGGGCGCTGGAGCAGCATGGTTTCCTGGAGTAGCTGATATTGTCCTCGCGTCTACGTCAACTTATCTCCAAATCCCATTCTCTGCACTTGGTTTAGTTCCAGAATGTGGCTCGGCTATTTCATTAACTCAGTCTATGGGTGTTCATCGTGCTAATGAGTTTTTGATGTTTGGAGGAAAACTTACTGCAGATGATATATTATCATTCGGTATTGCTAATCGCATTTTTGAAAAAGAAGGATTTGAGGAGAAGGTGATTGAGTATTTGGGAGAGATTTTGAAGATCAATGATGGGAAGAGTATGATGGAGGCCAAGAGGTTGCAGAACTTACCATTGAGAGATTCAAGGATATTGGCGGTGTATAATTCGATTGATGCGTTAGCTGAAAGATTCGTTGATGGAGCGCCGTTTGAAAGATTCGAAGCTAAGAGAAAGGAAATGGAGGGTGAGTGATCAGACGAATGTCCGATACTGGCATTTAGCTAACACAAATTTTCAGCGAAATCTAAAAGTCGAACCTCGAAGATCTAGGAGTGGGCAGAGTTCTTCGGATAACGATACAATAGACAGAAATCAACACATAGGATTTTCAATAGTCCATGTTGTATTAAAATGATCCACCTGTTCCTTAATTTCAGGCTTGGATTTCCAAAGCGTTCAGATACTTTTCTGCATTCTGCTGTTAAGAACAGCAGACTATTTCTTATCCAAGTATAGCCAATGAATGATCTTGCAGTCATGAATTTAATCCTAGATTGGTCAGATTTAGTGGAATATATGGACGTTCGATTGAATTGTGATGGTTCCTCTCAATTCAAAGGTGTGTTTGTTTTCCACATTAGATTTATTTCAGCAGTGTCAAAAGTAAGGGAGTATAATTGCTATCTTATTGGCTTGGTGATTGGAGCAAACAACTTAATGTGGGCAATTGCATCCCAGCCACGGGAAAGTGACTGTTTGAGAAATCAGCCGATGGATAATGACGGCTTTCATTATGTTTGGGTAAATGTATGACTGCTGCTAAGGCTCTTAGCATATGTGTGGTTTCAGTGTCAAATGTCACCCTCCGTTAAGCTAATGCGGGGATGGGGGCTAGTTTCTGTCTCGCTCAAAATCAGCACCGTCTTCTAGATTAATACCTTTCGCCCATCTCGATTTGAAACAAAAGACAGACAAGAATCTACTTGCACTTTCATTTGGGTTCAATTCAACTACGGAGTTGATAACATCATGGCCACTACTGAGTGTGCTGTATGTGGCAGATGTGATGGTAAAGTTCTCCGTTGTAGTCGATGCTATTCCCGTGAATATTGCGGTATGTATTCTTTCTTCCTTCTTAAATCCTTTTCAAAATTCAAATTGAGTGGTTCAAATATGTTATCTGGGTACATCGTGGCAATTTTCAGATGTCGACGGATATTGGGAAACCACCCAATCCTTTTAACTTCGCAATTTTTAGGAAGTTTGGGACATCAAGAAACGTGTAAGCTAACGTTTTGTTTATCAATAGGCAAAAACTGTCAGACCAAGGACTGGCAAACTCACAAAAAATCGTGCAAACGACAAAATTTCATCTTGAGAGTTGACTTATGCCCTCGATATCTCATCAATCCCCGCGTTACGCGAACTCTTTCATGCCCTGCTACTGCTACGTTTGCCGATCTGCATGACGCGCTTCAAATTTCATTCGGCTGGAAGAACTGCCATCTTCATGAGTTTGAAGTTCTGAGTCACAGCGAATTCATAGGCTACAAGTCCTCTTTCAGCCCGGGAGCAGCGCTTCTCCTCATAAGTCCAGATATACTAGAGGGAAAAAATCAGGAAGAAAAGGACAAGTGTAGCAGCAACACTGTACTTTACCAGATTCTGGATGGAGAATTGACAAGGGGCAAAACCATGTTGTATCGCTATGATTTTGGAGATGATTGGGAGCATATTATGGTTTGCGGGGGACGAGCAGATCCAAGCGTGAACTTCGAACTTTTAGGCGGGGAAGGCCATGGATGTGCAGAGGATGTAGGTGGACCTAGTGGATGGATCAAATTACTCGAAGCTTATGATTCAAATAACCCGACAAAAGATCAGCGACAAACTATAGATTGGTTCGAGGAAGAAGCACATAACAAAGATTCATATGGCCTCCGAGGAGCAGCAAAATACACATGGGACAAAGAAAAATTGAATATAGCTCTCAAGGAGCTCGACACTTCCAGCCTATCTGGAGATGCTTTATCAATTCTTCTGGTGTCCCTGGGCAAGGAGTATTGGTTCGATGGGATGTATGTCGATGTGATTGCCAAGCTTCGCTCTAAAACCACGGTCAGAGAAGTAACGGATAGCATATCAGCAATGAAACACGTCAGGAATGCAATCCAGAACTATCTCGCCATCATAGTTACTGACGCGGTTTTCATGCTACCTACATACCTTGCGATCAACCGAGAATTAATTGAGTACGTCAAATCAGGTGGGACAGTAATATTCGGCTTCATGATTGCAAATCTTGCAGAGCCACCAACATTTGAGAAGTACTTCAGTAGTTCAGGCTGGGGCCTCAACTGGAAATTTGGCACTTATACTCGAGATACATACGAAGTCAACAGTCAGGCCCACCTCACGAAAAGCTGCAAAGCTACCTTGGAGTCTTACGGCATGAAAGCTCTCAGTTTAAAGAACGCCAAGCCAGAAGATAGAGTGTACGCAGGTCCTGGTAGCGCTAGGAATCAGAGTCCCGCTATTTTTGCCAAATATGGAAGAAATGAGACTAAGCAGGGTTATGTAGGTTGGCTTGGTGATGTAAATGTTGAGGAGGGGACGACCAAGTTGCTTTTAGCAATGTGTGGCTTTTGAGACTTTCCAATATTTCTCTGCCCAGAACCGTCAGATATCTGCTGATCAAAACTGACTGGAGCTCTGCTAGTCTTGTTTTTATTTTAAAATTTCTGAATTTCATAGAAATTCCATACTTTTCGACTCAACTCATCGCGGTCTCGTTTTTCGCCGTTGCTGTGCTGAATCTGATCATGTTCAAACAATGCAAATGATGCTGACATTCTCCGAGCCTAACAAATGTAAAAACTTCCCGCCATCTCTTACTCAGAATTCTGCACTTGTCCAAGACATTAAAATCCTTCCCTTGATCACAACTATTCAAATGTACTCTGACGATCCTAACTTATTGATTCCCAAGAAACCACACCAAGCAACGCCCTATTAAGTCCTACAACAATGTGAGGACAGCCCACTTTGCATTCATACCCTCTACTAAATCACCTACTAATATCAATACACTTTTTTTGATTGGAAAGTTACCATATGTTTTGTGTCACATCCCTATTGTTGCTTTGCCATAGTGTTGTTTTAGTTTCTTTTCTCTTTCCATCCATTCTTCTACAAACGAAGTCTTAAGCAATCGAACCACCCTTTTACCGATACCCGTCTATTGATCTCTCGAATTAGTTACGAGGATCCCTGGTAACTGACACGAATTTTACAAGCTACAGTCTGTTGCCAAAAATCTCCTCAGAAAGCTCAACTCTAATGATGCTGCTGAGGATTCATCCTCCTTCCATTATCCATAGGCATGATGGGCGGTGCTTCAGCAGAAGAAGTAGGCGTCCGATCGGGTGCCCTTACATAAACGCTCGGCTGTAATTGTAGAACGATTACTTCCATAAATATACGAGCCTGGATTGTGAGAAAAACCAATACTGGTTCTGGATATACACACATGCGGAGATTGTCCAGACGATGTATCCGGGGATGAATGAGAGTCAATCGGCGAGACGTGACGATTGGAGTCTAGAGGTGGTGTCTTTTCTTCCAGGGGTTTCAATACAACGAGTCTAGATGGATCTCGATATAATGTATCAAGAATCGCAGAAAGAAGGACAGCGCCGTCAGCGTGACCAAACTCAAAGATATCGATAAGTGTTTCTGATGATGGGGGTTTCGATGGGCTCAGGACGGGAATTGGATGGTTATAGAGACTCGCAGATGATACGATTAGCATTACAATTAATTGTTCACGATCCGAGGACCCACGTAAGCAGCGCCCACTACCCTCCGATCCATTGCTGTGCCTTGACTAGCAATTACTGGCTTGCTTACATCCAGCACCACAGACCACATCACCATCAATTTCCGAGTAACATCTGTCAAATACATTCGCTTCGATAGATTGAAAGAGTTGCAGCGCTTCAGTCAATTAACAAATCTTGAAGTACTTAAGGCTTCAACATTCGAAGCAACCAAATATTTCACCTACAACTAGTATATGCGTCACAAGAGTGATGGGAAGCACACGGCATACATCATGAGGGCATTCAAATTGTTGTAGATCTCAACTAAAGAGGAATAATTTATGAAAAAAGTGCTGTGCGTGTACAGATCTCTGAAGGGTATTGTTAGGGGTGAGCTCCCTTGGCTTCCAGATTCATATATATCATGCCTTCGACACGAACGGTAGTCCGATGAGATAAAAACTTTAACAAGAGATGTGAGCCAAAAAAAAAGTTAGACAGTAACATCCTTCAGGTTTCTAAAGCCTACGTGACGATGATCAGTTATCGAATACTACGCCTTGCCAGAGCTTGATCAAAAAGAAACTCTAGATATTATTAGGTCAAAAGGCCTAAGTCATGACCAATGTCCATAGAAATGTATCCTTCTCTAAGATTTTTGTTACAAAAAAGAGAAGTACAGACGCAAAGGGTGAGGTCTGTACACGGTGAAGAATGAAAAGCAAAGTTTAGGAAAGCAGTGGACGAAATAGATTCATAATGAAAACACAGACAAGACACGGTATGGTATGTAAGTCGAGGAAACGAGATAAGACATGCTAAGGAAGAGGTCAGAAGAAAGGACCAGGATACGTGCGACAATATTTCAACCTTGTGAACTTCGAAGTTACCAACATAGAGGTACGTATAAAGCACGCTCTCCGTCTGATGTCAGACGTGCAGAGTACTGAATGCACAAGGACAGGGATGAATGGAGTTAGTCCCTTCGAAGCTTGTCAGCCGAGGAAGAGTTGAATGAGTATCATAAAAATTGTATGCTTTATTTTTGTATTTGTTATTATACACAGGGGTATTAATCGCAAGGTATGCCAAGGTATCGCGGATTTCGTACCCTTTCCTATAACTCCATGTAGACATGAAAATCTTTGATCCCATGGCATTTAAAAATGCCGTGTCACATCTCCTTTTCTGTATTCGCTGCTCATCAAGCAATCCTGCAAGAACCGTGTCTTGCATCATAAAATCTCAAAATGAGGTATTCGTAACGTTTCGGTGGTCTTCAACTGTCCGTAAACGAGAGAAAGAGAATTAAAATCGCATGTCTCGTAATCATCTATAGCCGCGACTTCTATCATTTCCTCGCCCGGCGTTCCAGTTGTTTCCATTACGGTTGTTACTGTTGCCAGCACGACCTCCTACAAGGTTGTCGCTGTAAAGTCCTTGGCTTCTAGCGTTGTTACGGCTGCCGCCATCCCGGTCATCGGTATCCATGCGATCGTCAAATCCGTAGGAGCCATCGATAATATCATCCCGAGAACTTCGCGAGCTGTCATGTCTTGAATCATAGCTATCGGAACCTGCACTGCGTTCAACACGGCTAGCTCTTGGACCTGTAGGAACGCTTAATCGAGGCGCAGAACGTTGGCTGGCAGGTTGGAGCGTTGGCGCAGGAGCTCCCGACTTGTTGTAAACGTTCAATAAATTACCATCCGCCTATCATGGGCCCGTTAGTAATGCTTCAAAGGTGTTCTACCTTGAGTAAAAATACCTCTTGGTTGTTGAATGTATCAATGACATTGTCAGCTCCATCCTTTGTATCAAAAATGATCTCTGCGATAATTCTGGGGTAATCAGAGATAAGGCGGCAGCTTAGTGGAGGTCCACCAACTGGTGTCATCGCGGTCTCGATATCTTGTGCGGAAGTGCCTCGCGCGAAGTTTTCTGCCATTACAATATATGGTCCTGCAAGTCCCTTGATAGACATGCTTTTAGTCACCTTCGACTTCCCAACGATATTATACTGAGCATTCAAGTTCGGCGTTGATGCAGAGCCGTTGAAAGCTTTCGCAAGTCGATCATTGCGCGCACGCGTATTGATATTCTTAGGGCCACGAGGAGGGTTTTGAGATGTTCTAGAACTGCCTGGGTTGTTAAGAGAGTGTAGATCATGAGTCCATTCCGCATCAACATTTCCGACAGTAGGTGTGGAATTTTGCCTTGGTGCAGGTTTGGGTGTAGCCGGGCCGCGCTATTCGATTGTTAGATTCGTAGATCTGTAGACACATGCCAGTAGCCCTCATACCTTTCCAACACCCATTCTGCTTGCAAGTGAGGGACCAGTGCCTGGCTTGCGAATGTTGTTTGTCGCTCCTGGCGCACTCGCTCGACGATTCTTGCCCAGGAATTTATTTGCTAGAAGCTCATCCTTGCGACGCTCACGTCCTAATCTTATGTCAGTCCCTGACGACGTAGCAAACTTGCTGCATATTTCTATCAAGGTTACCTACCTTTGTTAATGAATCCATTGAAATCGGGTAAGTCAGTTTTGGGTGCCATAGTGTTAAGTTGCAGCTACCGCTACCTGTTATTGGTGTTAAGAAAGTTGATAAAGTCGCAGATTTTCTGAAGTCCTGATTCAACAATACTCAAAAAGGCGGATGAATATCTTCAAGATCGAATGATAATATTTGAGGTTAAAGACAGGAATTAAGGTGAATGAGGGATAGGATGGCCGAGGATAAATAGATCCTGAAGTTCAGGTCGCGAAAGTTTAAGGTCGTATTTGGGGAGTACGCGAGTGACTTTGAAGCGGAAAATGCGGCCGCGTGATCAAATGTACGGTTTGGCTTGAGTTGGAACGAACATCCTTTTATCTTTGTTCACTGCAAGACCTGATGAATAGATATGTTTCGAATAGAATCGTGTATAATTTATATTGGAAGTGATCTGAGTTTTCAAAGTTTGGATCGTTTTGTGAATTTATGTACCACCAGGGCTGGACTTTAAGAATAGAAAATCTTGCAACCTCGTTACCCCCTTTCCTATTCTAAGAGAAACAAGACTCATATTGATTATAACATTATAATCAGGTAGGTACGAATGACATCCAGATAAGTTTGTTCCTTTACTCTTGCCATTTCTCAATGGTGTGATGTGTGATATTGTCTATTCAAGTTTTCTTTTCCTTCTGTTTCTTTCGATCAACAATCCAATCTTTACATGTTGATTTCTTTTGGATTTTTGGTTAACAAACTACAGACAAGTAAGAAATACTTTTTCTCTTCTCCGTATATTTTTCTAGTTGAGCTATTTCGCTATTCTTCCCGTGCTTCTCGTGATCTACACCTTCGCATTCTTGGATTTGTACCCCCTAACTGATGAAGTGTAGGTAAATCCTGAAAGCGAGTTAAGCAAACATGGCTTCCATATCATTTCAAACCCCTGAGAAGATGAACGATGAGAATGCACTTCTACCTCGAACGCCACATACGCCCAACTCACACAAGGTCCAAGATTTGGGACGAACATCTTCCCAAAAGAAAGCTCGACAAATTTTTGATAGTTTAAGAGGTTTGAAGTCACGCGGGAGACTCAATGTTGATATGGAAGATGCGGGTGGTCATTCTGCTGGTCCTTCTAGCCCCGTTCGCCGCAAAAATGCAACATGGGACTTCTTGGGAACCATCCGTACAAAGAGATCTGGTGAATTCGGTACTCCTGAGAATGAAAGACCTCTCACCACAACTCCTCTCAAAGCAGAGCCGCAAATCAGTAAGTAATGATGATCTTAATTTCTCCGCGTTGATCTAATATTGTGTTCGTAGACGAGGCATCGAAACTGCTTCCAAGAAGACGAAAGAGTCTTGTTAACATACTTGGATCAATCTCCAACAAGGTATCCCCTAGACGTAGTACAACCCTTCGTGAAAACACACTTGAAGAAGAGATATTACCAAATTATTGTGAAGAGGACGTATTTGCCGAGAAGTTGGCAAAAGAGTTGATAGAGTTGAAAGCGAATAATCCGAGTCCTTTGCACAAATCAGAATCAGATGGCCAATCAAGGTTTCCTCAGGAACGATTAGGAGGATCCTGCAATTTGGAAGCAAATTTCAATACCATAATCGAGAGTGAGTTTATCAATTTGTTGCAATGATATTGAATGGGAGAGAAACGTCTGACCAATACTCAAGGTCTTCAAAAACTCCGACAGTCTGAAGATCTACCCAATAGTAGAGTAGGATACGACGCAGATAGTTGTAAGTACCCTTACTCCGAGTTCTAGAAGTATATGTTTTGATAGTCTGACTGTAGGGACGAGTCAAGCGCAAACGCTACAAAGTGTAGGATCTAACGAGCAACTGACAAGTCAATCCCCAACAACAGACATAGATGAAGAAGAATCAAAAACGCCAGACTCATATCTCTGCTCGATTATTAAGTCTTTCGACGACTATAACAATGAATCATTTGCTGTCAAAGGGAAAGGCGTGACCATCTCTCCATCACCCTCCCCTGACAAGTTACAACCAACTAAACCCATTGATTTTTTGAAGGATTCGAGCCCAGATGTGATTCCTGAGAGATCAGGCCCAAGGTAATTGTTTCTTACAAGTTACAAACCATAGCTTACGCCTATTATAGCAATCAATTCATGGACACGCTTTCATCAAAAGTTTGTCAAACTAACGCACTGGCAACACCAGAGCGGATATGCCGCCAGGGGACTTGGCCAATGATTACAATTCGAGAAGTGGCATCTGATTCCAACTCTAGCTCGACATTTGAGGATCAGATAGCTCCATCACCACCAACGTGGCAAGCCGCAGCGAAATCTAGAAACGCAATGCTGGAAAGCAGAGCCAGACTTCCTTATCAACCTGATAGACATTATATTCAAAAAGTCGATGCTCCTTTTATGAACTCAATTAAAGAGTGGAAGAGCCACAGTCAAAGCTTACAGCCAACCCCTCCTAGGGCCGATGAATCA